ACTCTTATGTACATTTCCTAACACTGTAGAGTGTTTTTTTGCTAATTACACCTGCTGTAACATCTCCAAACCTAACTTCTCTCTCTCCATCCTTCTGTACTCCTGGAGCAGTTCTGGGATGCTGTATAATTTTTCCCTGAACTTTGTCAACCTGGCCTTTGCTAAAACTTTCGTTTAAATTACAACATAACACAATTCGAGCACAGCCGGACACATTGCGGTAATGAGAATTTCAGCAGAAAATGCTGTAAAATAGAAATATAATTAATTCTCAAGTTGAAATTACACATTGTGCAAGGTAGAGAACAGTATTGTCTTTATTCTGATGCTTTTTTATATTACTAAATTACATGTTTTATATTTAAAATCATTAGTGCTGTGGTGTTTTAATGGTTTCGTGAGAATCACCCGTCTGTATATCATTAGTGCCGTGGTGTTTTAATGGTTTCGTGAGAATCACCCAAATATAAAAAAGCAGTAACCAGTAATATTAACTTCTCCATTGTCGTAGGCAGTCGATGTACAAGTAGGATGGTTGGTCGGTATTTGTCCCGCCCCTCCTCCATTGATGGTGACCGTGACGAATAATGCGTTTTACGGTTACCAACTCGGCTACAATTTTTTTATGCGTGTGAGCTGAAGTAAACCATGGAGGAACCACCACAGGTGTCAAATGTCAATAACAAACGGGAAGCACTGAAACTTGGCCACCAAAAATTTGTGCATGAATTTGTCCCAATAAGATGGCATCCATTTAATAATATTAATAAATATGATCGTTTACATTCAATGTTATAGTATAATGTTTTATAATGTACACAAGACTGAAGTATCTGCCAGCCTGTTGCTAAAGAAAATACTGCTATTTTAGTGTAAACAGAATTTATCATTATTTGCACTTAGTGTAACTAGAATATATCACTTTTTCCACTGTGTAACTGCCAAAAATTTCATTGTTCAGTTAAAGACAGCTCAGTGTTGATTCAGTTCTGTTCAATATTTAAAGTTAATTAATTATGAAATTAGTTCAATTGGGCAATATAGCATTGTTTACTTGTATAAACCCTTATTAACAAGCCTTTGTAAAAAAAAGAACAGTTAGCACATTCATTTGTTAGGTAACAACCTTGACAGCTGTGATGAATTAATGTCTGGTGTTTGTCATGTGACAATACTGTAGCTTACTAAGCTTGTGTGCCATTTTGAACAGCCTGTCACTTGCCTCATTTCTGAATGAATCAGCCGTTTGAACAAATCGGTTGAATAAATGACTGACTGACTCTCTCATTAAACAGTCTTTTGCCGACACCTACTGGTTGTTTGCCTTTGTTTAAATGTGTCATTGCATTTTTTCCCCCCGGCATTTCTTATACTTTTATGTTCCAAAAAATGATTTAAAACAATCTGATGATATTTGTAATTTTTCGTGTAAATGAATTAATGGCACTGAACATGGTTGTGTTGTACCAATAGCCTAGTTGGCAGAGCTCCCACTTGTGGTGCCGATGTGCCTCAAGCAATCTGAATTTGAGTCCCAGAAGTTCTTTTGGCCATCCTGTCCCTTTTGCTTCTCCCTGTTGTGTCCTGTCTTCTCTGCACTGTTCTAATAATAAAGATACGAAAGGCCAAAAACTGAACATTATTTTTCTAATGCTTTTAGATTTGAATAGTAGATTTGGGATTGGTCTGTAATGCATGGAATTTCACAGTTTTAGCTTTTGAGAGAAGCTTCTTAAGGCTTTGCCATTGTTCATAATGTAGATAGTATAGTAATGCAAATAATATAAACCCAATAAATCAGGAAACTAGAGGTAAAACAAATCCTGCTTGCACATTCTCTAGATTTGTGCTTCTGTGAAAGTGCAGTAATTCTGATGAAATGTAAATTTCTCAATTTTCTCACAATTGTGATTAACTGTTTAATCATTATTTTGTGAATCCAGATGTGGTTTGTGTACGTAAGAAAACTATAAATGTTGGTTAAGTATTACAAAAGTTTTCCCTAAAATCCCAAGCATAACTATAGGTGTATCACCTGTTTTGGGCTAGTTTGAAGGTGCAGTGAGTTCCTGATTATTCGTAATTGACATGAAACGTATTGTATTCTCAGGGAAAACGTATACAAGGAGAAAAGCAGAGGACTTAATACCGAGCCCTGAGGCATTGCATACTGTGTTTGATGAGACATCTCTTCAGTTACACAAAGAAAGTGGTAGCAGTTAGATAGGGCATGAATCCTATTATTATTGTCTACAAATGCCTATATAACTCAAGCTATGCAAGATAATTTTGTGGTCTGTGTTGTTGAAAATCCAATAGCTCTAGAAAAAGAGATAACTTTAAGTACAGTTTGCTTGTTACAATGGGGTGTAAAAAATTTGACTTGTTCACAAATAAGTTTTTTTTTGTTTGTTTTTTGCAAAATTGAACATTGTTGAAAGGTCTGCATATTTCTAATAATTTAAACTGGAGTGTCAAGCTCAGCCTTGCAGCCCAGCCTCTGCAGAGTTTTAAGTCCAATTCTAACTGAACACGCCTGAATCAAGGTCTTTAAGGTCAACTTATTAGGTGTGTTGGAGCTAAACTCTGCAGGACTGTGACTCTCCAGGATAAATGGCAGATTTGGGCCATTTTTACAGTCTGTTTTACTGTTGCTTTTAAATTGCGGTTAACTTGTATTTGTCTCTTTTAACCCTAGACCTGATGGTGCTGAAAAAGGAGAGTGAAGTACTAGATGAAATGCAAGATGAAGATCAGTATAAGAAAGAGCATGATTTCATAACTGGACAAAAATCAATTAGTTGCTCTCAGACAGAAAAGACTTCCACAAAAAAAAGAGCTAAAAAGACTGGAACTAGAGATCATTACACCTGCCAGCACTGTGGAAAGATTTTCAATCAGTATGGAAACTTTAAAGTCCACATGAGAGTTCACACTGGAGAGAAGCCTTATACATGTCAACAATGTGGAAAGAGTTTCGATCAACAAGGAAACCTTAAAGTCCACTTGAGGACTCACACTGGGGAGAAGCCTTATACATGCAAACAATGTGGAAAACATTTCAATGAACATGGAAACCTTAAAGTCCACATGAGGATTCACACTGGAGAGAAGCCTTTCACCTGCCAACAGTGTGGAAAATGTTTCACTAAAAGAGGAACCCTCAAAAGCCACATGAATGTCCACACAGGCGAGAAGCCTTACACATGCCCCCTGTGTGGAAACCGTTTCAGTCAACAAGGAAGCATTAACAGGCACATGAGAACTCACACCGGAGAGAAGCCATACATCTGCAAACTGTGTGGAAGGAGCTTTACAACAAAACCAAACCTTAGGTATCACATGAACAGTCACACTGGTGAGAAGCCATTTACATGTGATCAGTGTGGAAAGAATTTCAGACATAAAGGAACCATTAAAAAGCACATGACGATTCACTCAAGAGCTCTCCCTCTCAGTTTTATATGTCATCAGTGTAGAGTGAGTTTTACAGACTGTAATCACCTTAAAAATCATGTAAAATCTCACACTGGAGAGAAGCCTTTCATGTGCAATGACTGTGGAAAGACTTGCTCAAACAAGACAAACCTAAAGATTCACATGAGAATTCATACTGGAGAGAAGGCTTTCACCTGCCCTCAGTGTGGAAAGAGTTTCAGATTTAGAGGAAACCTTCGGACTCACATGAGAGTTCACAGTGGAGAAAAGCCTTACACGTGCCTTCCATGTGGAAAGAGTTTCACACTTAAAGGAAACCTAAACATTCACATGAGGCTTCACACTGGAGAGAGACATTTCACATGTCACGAGTGTGACATGAGTTTCAAATATCAGAGAAACTTGAAAGATCAT